AGCTCCAAAGCTTCTGCTCAAAGGCTTAGAGAGCTCCAAAGCTTCTGCTCAAATACTTAGAGAGCTCCAAAGCTTCTCCTTGAAGGCTTAGAGAACTCCAAAGCTTCTGCTCGAAGGCTTAGAAAAATCCAAAGCTTCTGCTCGCAGGCTTAGAAAAATCCAAAGCTTCTGCTCGAAGGCTTAGGAAGCTCCAAAGCTTCTGCTCGCAGGCTTAGAAAAATCCAAAGCTTCTGCTCGAAGGCTTAGAAAGCATCAGAGCGTCTGCTAGTGAGCTTGAAAGCTTCAGAGCGTCTGATCGAGAGCTAGGAAGCTGTTCCACTGTTTCTCAGAAGAAATATAGTTACTGATGTGAAAAGTGACTGTGACGTGGTCATTGAAGTATTATCGTCTCTTCGTAAGTATCCTAAATATGTCTAATTAAAATTTTGTAACGTTACACCCAAGTAACGAGCCTCTATCGTTCTTATTTCTTTGGATTAAGGATGAGCCGAGGGTAGAAACGATATTTACCAAGGAAAAGAAGCATAAAAATAACGGTCAACTGATAGAGGGCCTGGCCAAGGATGTTCTTCATCATTGTCCTGGAGATAAGTGGTTTCGTGCGACCGTACGGTCTGCGAAGTAGAAGATCAGGCGTAGGCATTTCGGTGGCCAAAGCGAGAGACGCTAACGTGTCCATGATTAGGTTCACCCACAACATCTGCACTGCTTTAAGGGGGGAATCTTGCACTGCACATGCTCCGATAAAAGCAACTATAACAGCGACGACATTGACGGTCAGCTGAAACTGCAAGAACTTTGCTATACTATCGTAGACGTTTCTACCCCACATAACTGCCTTCACGATCGAAGAGAAATTATCGTCCGTTAAAATGATATCGGAAGCTTCCTTGGCGACATCTGTACCGGCGATACCCATAGCGAAACCGACGTCGGCCTTCTTCAGAGCCGGGCCGTCGTTCGTCCCGTCGCCGGTCACGGCTACCACCTCGCGGCTCACGCTCGCCTGACTGTCGATTATGCCCTTCACCAGCGTGTACTTGTCCGTGGGCGACGACCTGGCCAACACCCTCAACTTGGGCCACACTTTGTCCAACAGATGCTGCTGCACCTCCCCGTTGCTGTCCCTGATCCTCCTGTTGAACTCTTTCCCCTCGAGGATCAGAAAGTCCTCGTTCGGCTTCAATATACCGCATTTCAGGGCGATCGAGCGCGCGGTATTAATATTGTCTCCCGTCACCATTCGCACGGTGATGCCCGCCTTCTGGCACTTTCTGATCGCGTCCGGCACCTCCGGACGAACCGGATCCTCGATACCGACGATGCAAAGACACGTCAGGTTATTCACAATGTTCTCCTCGTCGTCCCAATTCGGCTCGTTGTCGATGTGAACTTGATTGATCTCTGCCTTGCCAGGAACAAAGTCGCGATAAGCAATGGAGATGGTACGAAGCCCGTCGCACGCCATTGGTTCGATTACGTTCTTTACCAAACGCTCTTGCATCTCTTTGGTAAATTTCTCCAAATGACCTTCGCGACCATATATAAAGGCACATCTGCGAACAACCAACGGTTATCATTGTTATTTATCCTAGTAAACCTGTGAATTTTTCATTTATATGCTATGCTATGCTTTTTTTATCATCTACACTCTACAATTTATTCCATTAAATGTTTAATTGAGGAGAGCTTAATAATCTGCACTAGTATGTGTATCATTTTTTATTTATATGATTAATTTTTGCTGGAATTTTCTTTTGTCATTCTCTATAAGAAAATATTTTTGAGAAATTCATTTCTAGCCAGTCTAAAGGTTAATAATGAAACTAGTGTATGAACGAAGAGGAATGATATCGTACTTCTTCATGATGATCTCGGAAGCGCCCTTGGTGAAAAGCCTGTATCCACCACCCTTCCTCGGAATGACGGTAGACATGCTCTTCCTAACGCTATTGAACGTGTACACCCGCGTGAAGGTTTCCTCAGGTTGATCGTCTCGTATCGTCTGATAGTTCATGCCCAGGGCTACTACGAATCCAAGTAAGGCACATTCGGTTTTATTGCCGACTTGAAGCGGCAACTCTGTAGGGTCTTGCGAGGGCATTATTCTGGATGTGTACGCCGAATTAATAGATATAGCTTGTATTATATAGTTTCCAACGTGGTTCGGTAAGTCCGAGAACTTCGGGATCGTCTTGCTCATCTTCTCGCATATGTACGACTGAACAACGGTCATACGGTTGGTTGTCAGGGTACCAGTTTTGTCCGAACAGATCGCTGTAGCGTTGCCCATCGTTTCACAAGCGTCCAAGTGACGGACCAAGTTGTTGTCTTTCATCATTTTCTGCAACACATACCATAGAAACGTCACACATACGTCAGTTAAAAACATAAAGTGGAAGAATCTGGACAATTATTTTCCTGATTTGTGGTGGCATTATCAAAGGAAATATTCACAAGGTTATATTTCATTTGAAAGCTAGAGAATCCAAGCAAAGAACCACCTCGAAAAGGTGA